ATTTTTAGAGTAACTGGTATTTATCAGAAATCTTTTAATGCAGTGGAGAATTTTTAGTTTATTTCTATTATGTATTTATATATTTTATATAATACAAAATGTTACATAATAATATATAATATTTGCATATTATATACTACATAATATATTGTCTATACTATATAATAGTATATTTATAGAATAGTTTATATAATTATAAGTATATAATTATAAATATTATATGAACAACATATTTATATGTTTATTATATTATATTTATATTTAAGAAACAGATTTATGAAACTCTATTGTGAAAGGATAAAATACTTCATTATCCTATGCTGTCATAAATAATATTATCTTAAAATTTTAATTTTCTAATTGTTTGTTGCTCAATTACAGAAATTCAATTGATCCTACAATTCTGTTTCAGCCAATGTGTTTGTTTTAATGGCTTTTTACAAATCCTTTAAGATATTCTAGGTTGATGCTCAAGTTTCTAAGACTATATGGATAAATTACTTTTATGAAATATTTTATTAAAATAATTATTTTTTCCTTATTGCATTGACTAGAATTTTAAATGCAATATTGGATAGAAGTGCTTTGAACAAACCAGACATTAGATGCACAATTCCCCACACCCAGGAGAAGTACTGCAGTAGCATGAGTTTGACTATGTAGAGAGATACTGCTCAAGAAAATAAATAAATAGATACACAAATAAATAAATAGTGGTAGAATAGATATTAAGATTTAAGTGTAAAAATTTTCAACATTTCACCATGAAGTATTGTGTTAGTTATAAAACGTAATTCAAAGGGGTCTCCTATTTTTACTTTGCTGAGAGTTTTTATAGTCATTTTTTGTTGAATTTCATCAAATTTCTTGTATGCATTTACTGGTAACATGATTTCCTCTTTTTTTCAATCTGATGAATCACATGAATTGACTTTTTATGTCAGATTTATTCAAATCAGGATAGATTTCTTTTACTATATTGCTGGATTTGACTTGCCAGTAGTTTAAGAATTTTTTTCTAATGAGATTCATGACAGAGATAGCTGTACAATTTATTTTATATTGCTAGATTTTGTCAGGAGTTGTCTGCCAAAATTTCATTAAAAAATTGAGTGAGACTGCCTTTATTTCTCTATGAAATATTTTAGAGAATTTACATTTGAACTGAGTAATGTGAGTTGAAATCAGAATTAAGAAGTGAAGCCATCTACACCTAGAGATTTCTTCATGGGAAGAATTACACTACAAATTCAAGTTTTATTTAAAAGTAGACATGACTTATCGAAAACGAACTTTACAACTTTGGTGGGGGGGGGATTGGGTGGGGGGGGCGGGTGGAGGCTGGGAAGGGATGTGATAAGAAATGTACTCATTATCTTGCCCATGTAATTGAAACCCCTCTGTACAGTATGTTCACAATAAAAAATAAAAAAGTAGACATGACTATTCAGATAATGATTTTTTTCTTTCTTTATATCTAGCTTGGTAATTTATATCTTTCAAAGAATTTGACAACTTTATGCTGTCAATTTTATTGGCATAAATTGTTCATAATAGTTCTTATATTTTTGATATAGTAAAATCTATACTAATATCCCCCTTTTTATTTATAATTTACCCTCACTTTCTGATTATGGAACTAAATCATTACTTTTTCAGAGAATCAGCAGTTGTCTTTGTTAATTCTTGCTATTTTTTGTCTTTGTTCTATTTCATTGATTTTTGCTTTTATATCTATTATCTCCCTCTATCAACTTATTTTGGTCCAATTTTCTTAGCTTTACCTAGTTTTCTAACATAAATAATTTATTTGATAGCCTCATTCTTTTCTAATAACATATTTTAAACTACAAAATTCCCTCTCAATATTATTTTACTGACTGTAACATGATTTTCTTTATGTTTCTATCATCATTTAATTTAAAATATTTTAAAATTTCTTCTTTTTTCATTTTTTATTGTGAAAATAGTGTACAGAAGGGTTACAATTATATGAGTAAGGTAATGAGTACATTTCTTATCAAGCATTGTTGCCTCCTCCCTTGTTTCCCCTTCCCATCCTAACATTTCTTTTTAACTAGACAAAAATCATCTAATCTCTCCATGTTTGTGCTTTCTAATCTCTGAAAGGACTATTTTTAATGATCTGTATATTTTCTTTAGGTTCATTTTCTTGCCATTAATTGACCAATATAGAAAATTACAGTTTTAAATTCATTATAACAAAGTTGGACTATATGTTTTAACAGTAAATCTATTTTGTATGTTTTCTTTGGTTGGTTGGTTGGTTGATGGCAGTGGTGATAAAAATGAGGCCCTTCCACATGCTAGAACAGTTCTCTACCCCTGATCTTGAGCTTCAACATTTGATATATTTTAAGTTCATTGGTGGTGTTATTCAGTTATTTCTTCTAGGAACAGGTGATTTTTTTTATAGAGATCAATAATAGAAGATAGAAATCAATCACCTAGAGAAATATATTTGATGCTCATACCATCAAATAAACCTATAAAATCAAGGAATGATTATATTAAAGAATCAAGTTAAGAGATAAAATAATCTGGAAATGTAGAAATAAAAGTGACTCTAGTATAAGAAAGAATCTAGCTGGATCCCAGTGTGATATCACTGGTCTGAAATGCAGCACTTGGGAAACTAAGGCAGGAGGATCATAAGCTCTAGTCAGTGTAGGCACAGAATGAGTCCCTATTACAAACAAACAGAGAATAAACAAAGCAACAACAACTCTACCACACTTAAAACCAAAACCAAACCAGAACATATGTTATTCTTATCTCTTCTTCCTTCAAATGATTTGACAGGATACCGTTAGGCTGATGAGGAAATTCTTTGTAGACTACCACCTATCTCCCCTCTACTTAGTTCCAGGATTGGGGCTGTTCAGCAGAAAAGCTAACCACTTAATTAGAGAATGGGAACTTTGGGCCCTAAGCCCTTTGGAGGGGAAGGAGGCAGGAGATCAAATGCAATCACATGAGAAATGATTTAATCAATCATGTCTTTGTAATGAGATTCTGATAAATATTCTGAACACTGAAGCTCAGAGGCGTTTTCTAGATGCTAAGCATATCATTAGACAAGAGATATACCCTAACTCTGACCAGAGAATGCATAGATGAACACTCCTGTCCCTTGCAGATCTTCGTTAAGTATAACATTATTTGGCTATTGCTAGGTTGTATTCTATATAATAAAAACTAACTGTAAGTATAGCCAAGTACTTTTCTTGAGTTCCACAGGTTATTCCAACAAACTCAGCCCTAAAATGGGTTATAAGGATTGACTGTCAAACCAGGTGCTGGTGGCTCACACCTGTAATCCTAACTACTCAGGAGGATGAGATCTGAGGATCGCGGTTCAAAGCCAGCCCCGGTAGGAAAATCTGTGAAACTCTTGTCTCCAATAAACCACCTGCCTTGAGCTGGAGAGCTGAGGGACAGCGCCCAGGCCCAGAGTTCAAGCCCCACAACTGACAAAAAAAAAAAAAGAATTGACTGGTCAAAAAAAGAAAAGTAGGTTGCATGATTTCCCTCATTTGTAAGAACTAGAATAAACCTATGATATTCTTTTTTTTTTTTTTTCAGTCGTGGGGCTTGAACTCTGGGCCTGGGCGCTGTCCCTCAGCTCTTCAGCTCAAGGCTAGCGCTCTACCACTTGAGCTATAACGCCACTTCCGGTTTTCTGGTGGTTTATTGGAGATAGGAGTCTCACGGTCTCTCCTGCCCGGGCTGGCTTTGAACCGCGATCCTCAGATCTCAGCCTCCTGAGTAGCTAGGATTACAGGCGTGAGCCACCAGTGCCCGACTAAACCTATGATATTCTTAACAGGGGATTCCAGTAACCCGATTGCTTTGTGCATAGCACTATGGTGCTATAAAGAAGCATATCAACACGAACTCCAATATATGGAAATAAAAGATTATTACTATGTCCTATATGTAGTTGGGCTTTTTTTCATGTTTCTCTTAGTTTTTGGTACCATGTGTTTTGTATGTAATATTTTTCAATATGGAAGGGAAAGGGAACCACAGAAACAGCAGGACAAAGAATGAACCAATACAACAATGATACTCACTTGACACAATGTGGGATAAGAACCTTACAACTTGGGGGGAGGGAAATAGGGAAGGGTAAGCCAGTGGGATGATAATGAGCGATGGGGTAGTGATGAATAAAAACAAATGTACTCATTACCTTACTTATGCAACTGTAACCCCTCTGCTCATCACCTTTTCAATGAAAAATAAATTAAAACAAAAACAAATAGAAAAAGAATTGGCCACTCAGAAGTGTCGATGGTCCTACAGTCATACTTGTGGCTGACACCTAAGGCTGAGCCTTTAGCCTGTGGTATTTAATGTGACTTTTGAGTGCTTGGCATTGTATTTCTACTGTAATATCCTTACCAGGGTATAATGGTTGCAAGAACAGAGACACCAAAGAGAAAATACATACAAGGAGTTGTAGCAGAGAACACTGGAGACTGTCCATTTCCAGGACTGTTTTGCCAAGTCACACTAATAATGTGTTTTTTTTTTAAGTTAGGCATCTGTCTACTCAATTACATATTTTCTCAGCCTTCTTGATCCAGCTATGCACTTTATACTAAATTCTTGCCCATAAGATTACACAAAAATGTTCCATAGCCTTGTCTTGCCCATTTTATTGTGAAAGCAATTTGCTCTCTAGGCTAGAACTGACCTCTCAATAGAAGATCACAATTCTGCTTGTCTATTTCTTTTATCCCCGGACAGTGACATCTAAAATGCATGACTCCTTTTTGAAGCCTTCTACTACTTCAGAGGATGACTTAAGATATTTATCAAAACATGTTAATCAGTTCTTCCAAGACCCCTAAGATTGTGTGGTGGTTAATTTTAATAGTGATCCAGAAACTGGGGGTTTTCTAGAGCACACCTGTCTATCAACATGCACAATCACTACTTCCCAAATCCATTTGAACAGTGGGAAAAGGCACCTGCAGGAAAAACTCCTCCATTAAGGCCATGGTCCACCTGTAGTGCAGCTTCCAGGTTTTGGCTGGGTGGCTGATGTCTGCTGCATGGAGAATCAGGGACATAGTTTTGGCTCTATCAATCCTGTCAAAGCAAGGACATTCCCAAATTATCAAAGCAGAGTAACCAGTGCAAATGCAAGCCCATAAAGCCTTGACATGACAAAAGAAAATAGCTTACCCTTCAGGCTGCTGCAAACTGCTTCTAATATTTTTAATTTGCTGGAAGTGACCTGACATGTCAGTAGATAATACCATTTCAATCACTAGGTTCCGAAGATCCCTGCAGATACATGGAAAGGAGGAAGGTTCATTTCCATAAATACCACAAGACACTTTTTTCCTAATGTGGATGAGCACAAAAGATGCTAGTTTTTAAATGGAAACGTGTTTGCAAACGTTTGACACTTTTTTTTCTGTTGGCTTTGTGGGCCTTAAGAAGCTATGGGCGGAGAAATAGTGAGTGAGGCTGTTTAACACTCTCCTAAAGAACAAAATGTTCCCCCTTCTCACCTCACAGTCCTTCTCCCATAATTCCTAAGTCTTATGTTTTTAATCCGAGGTCCTAGGCCATAATGAAGAGACCCTATTTGAAGTGTGACTGCTGCTTCCTCCTCCTCCCCCTCCTTCTTCTTCTCCTCCTCCTTCTTCCTGTGTGCCTGTGAGAGGGAAGGGGGTCCTGGGGCTTGAATTTAGGACCTGGGCATTGTTCCTGAGATTCTTTTGTTCAGTGTTAGCACTCATCAACAATTGAGCCAAAGCTCCACTTTTGGCTTTTTTGGTAGTTTATTGAAGATAAGAGTCTCATGGACTTTCCTGCCTGGGTTATCTTCACACTATGATCCTCAGATCTCAGCCTCCCAATTAGTTAGGATTACATGTGTGAGCCACTGTTGCCTTGCCTAAGTGAGAAAAGCTCATGAAAATCCATCTGCAAAATAATTAGCAATAACCATGATTCAAGTGATAGAGCACCACACAAAGTAAGTCAAGTGAGTTTGAGGCTTTAAAGTACCATAAAATATAAAATAAACAAATAAATTGAAATATGGCTCCATTTATGATAACAGAGATGATATGGCAAGATCATATTTTTTTCTCTTTTTTATTGTCAAGGTGATATACAGAATGGTTACAGTTACACAAGTAAGGTAATAAGTACATTTCTTGTCAAACTTATTGTCCTTCTTTTATGGTTTTTAAAACAACCACATAGTAGGGTTTTTGGAAATTGCAGGTACTCAATTCAATCTGAATATTAGATGGAAGGCAAATGAATCAATATTTCCCTACCATATATATTGGACACCGATCAAAAGTAGTTAATACATCTTTCTGTTTTATTTTTCTCTGAAATTATGACAAGATCTATTAATAGCAACTAAAAATATTTGGCTAAGTGATTTGAGACTAAACCTTTGTAAAAACAAAACAACAACAACAACAAAAAACCCTAAAGAACCACTGGCGCTGTGGCTCAAGTGGTAGAGCACTCACCTTGAGTGGTAGAGCGCTTACCTTGAGCTGAAGAGCTCAGACTTCAAGCCCTGTGGCTGCCAAAAAAAAAAAAAAAAAGAAAGAAAGAAAAAGAAAAAGCGGGGCTCTGGTAGCTCACACCTGTAATCCTAGCTACTCAGGAGGCTGAGATCTGAGGACCACAGTTCAAAGCCAGCCCAGGCAGGAAAGTCCGTGAGACTCTTACTTCCAATAAACCACTAGAAAACCAGAAGTGGTGCTGTAGCTCATAGAGCGCTCGCTTTGAGCTGAAGAGCTGAGGGCCCCAGAGTTCAAGCCCCATAACCAACAAAAGAAAGAAAAAAAGAAAGGAAATGATCTGAAATTCTGACTATTAAACTATGAAACTAAGCAAAAGAATACACAAAGAAATATTAATTTAGGATTTGATTTTTTTCTTGTCAAAAATTAAATCGATGGGTTTATTCTTACTAAACATGCCTTAAGAACTAAACAGATATACAACAGAACAGCTACAAATCTTTAAGAAGATGTCCTTCAAAACAAATTGGTTGTGGAGTCTGAGTTCAGGGCCTGGGCACTATCACTGAGCTCTTCTGCTCAAGGTTAGTGCTCTACTACTTTGAGCTACAACTCTATTTCTAGTTTTCTGGTGGTTGATTAGAGGTAAAAGTCTCATACACATTCCTGCCTGAGCACGCTTTGAATCACAATCCTCAGATTTCAGACTCCTGAATAATTAGAATTAGGTGTGAACCACCAGCATTTGGCTAAGATGTCCATATTTTAAGTTTCATTAAAATGTTATTAAGATTATAGTAGTAAATAGGGATTTTTTAGGTTGTTGAAAGTGCTGATTCTATCAAGTTCCACATGTGTATGATTAGTTTGATTTGTAAAAACAGCTTTTTAAAAACATTGAGTTAGGGTCACTGAAAAGTAGCTAACTAAAAATGAAATATTATAGCAGGAAATTATTACAATAGAATATTAATATGACAAAGAACAAAATATAGAAAATAACTGACATAACTTATTTGTGAACTTTGAGAAATGAATAGGTTACTCCAAAGGAAAAACAACAATAAAAATTAATAATATAAATGTTATCTCTGGAAATGATTATCACTTACAAGAAAATAAAGTAGTGCTCTACATGTAAGTAGTCTCTCTTAGACCATAGGGAGTATCTCCAAATCTGTCTGCCTGCTTTTAACATTGCCCATGTATTCACCACATGGCTCAGCAGCAGTCACTATATCTTTTATACTTAAATCCTGGTTTCCTAGGCTACAAAGATTTTGGAAGTATCCTTTTCCTGAAAAGAACAATGGAACTCTGAACTGAGTTCCCAAACCAAAGTACATACATCCACTCCTTCTGACAATATTTTCTGCCCCTCTAAAAGTGAACACATAGTTGTAGATCAGACCTTGAAAATACTGATTTTTACCTTTTCTGTTTTTGTTTGGTTTTTAAGGACTTTCTTGACTCAATATATTTATTTTTGATATTTCTTTTTATTTTGCCATGGAAACAAAAACAAAAATGAAACTTTTGATACAGTTGAGTAGGAGCCTTGTCATAGATTATTTAGACTATGTGTGTGTGTGTGAACGCAGGGCCTGGTGCTGTCCCTTAGGTTTTTTTGCTCAAAGCTAACACAATCCATACCTGTATTTTCAGCTTCTTAGTGTTTAATTGAAGATAAGAGCATCAGAGTTTCCTGCCTAGTCTAGCTTCAAAGTGGGATCTTTATACCTCGGCCTTGAGTAACTAGGGTTATAGGAATGAGCCACTACCACCCTGATCCATTTACTGACTTTTAATCAAGTTTTTGCTAAGTATGAAAACAAGGGTTTTTTTTGTTTGTTTTTTTATACATTTTTATTGTGAAAATTACAATTAGAGGAGTACAGTTCTTATCCAGCATTGTTGCTTCCTCCTTTGTTTCCCCTTACCATCCCTTCCCATCTCCCCACTCCAGTCCCACCTCTACCCATGCCAAAGTTGTAAAGTTCATTTTTCGACATAACATCTTGTACATTTCATTGTTAAAATGGGTCCACCTGTAGCCTTATTTAAACAATTTGTTTTTTTCCCTTCCTCTCCCCAAATTGTACCAAGATCAAATACAGTGAAAACAGGGGTTATACTGTGGGGGAGGGACATACAAAGCAACAAAGAAATCATCTTATAAATATGTTAGAAGCAATAGCAAATAAGAAAAACCATTTGAGTCCTTATCTTGGGGTTCATTTTGCCTAACATCAACTTATCTGACCATTTCTGCTTACTTCAGATATATACTAGTTATTGCAAATAAGAGAAACCATGGGACCTATGTTTCTTTGGGCCTGGCTTACTTCACTTAATATAATTTTTTCAAGTCTTTCCACTTCCTAGCAAATGGGGCAATGTCATTCTTTCTGATGAAGGCATAGAATTCAATTGTGTAGATATATACCACATTTTCTTGATCCATTCATCTACTGAGGGGCATCTGGGGTGGCTCCATATCTTAGCTATGGTAAATAATGCTGCAATAAACATAGTTGTGCTGGTAGCTTTAGTATGGTCTTGTTTGTAATCATTTGGGTAAATGCCCAAAAGTGGGATTGCTGGGTCATAGGGGAGCTCTATGTGGAGTCTTTTGAGGAGCCTCCTTACTACTTTCCAAAGTGGTTGAATAAGTTTACACTCCCACCAACAACGCAGTAGGGTTCCCTTCTGTCTACATGCTCTCCAGCATCTGTTGTTATTAGAGTTCTTGATTATAGCCATTCTAACTGGAGTGAGGTGGAATCTCAATGTTGCTTTGATTTGCATTTCTTTTATGGCTAGGGAGGTTGAGCATTTCTTCATGTGTCTATTGGCCATCCTTCTTTTCTCTTCAGAAAAGTTTCTCTTTAAGTCTTTAGCCCACTTATTTATTGGGCAGTTATTTCTTTGAGGATTTGTTGTTGGGGGATTTAATTTTTTGAGTTCCAGGTATATTTTAGATATGAGAACCTTGTTTATTATATGGCTAGTGAAGATCTCCTCCCAATCCATGAGCTTTCTATTGATCTTGCTAGCTATGTCCTTTGTCATGCAGAAGCTCTGCAATTTCACGCAATCCCATTTATCCAACCTTTCTTTGATTTGTTGTGCTTTTGGGTCTCTATTAAGAAATTTTCAGGCTGTGCCAAGGAAACCTAGGGTTTCTTCTATTCCTTCCTGTAATGTTTTCAGGATGTCTGCTTTGACTCCAAGATCTTTGATCCATTTGGAGTTGATTCTGTTCCGGGTGATATATACGGATCTAGCTTTAGTTTTCTGCAAGTGATTAACCAATTTTGCCAGCACCATTTACTGAAGAGGCTGTCTTTCTTCCATTCTATGTTTTTTAGCTCCCTTATGGAAGATTAGATGGCTATAGGTCTGTAAGTTCATTTCTGGGTCTTCAATTCTATTCCATTGGTCCCGAGGTCTGTTCTTGTGCCAGTACCAACCTGTTTTGATTACTATGGCTTTGTAATAGAGTTTGAAATTTGGTATTGATATTCCTCCAGCACTGTTCTTTCTGTTAAGGATGGTTTTTGCTATTTGGGGTCTTTTATTGTTCCATATGAATTTTTGGATTGCCTCTTATATTTCCTTGAAGAATGAGGTTGGAATATAGATATGTGTCACATTGAATTTGGAGATAGCCTTAGGAAGTATTGTCATTTTCATGATTTGATACTTCCAATCCAGGAGCATGGGAGGGTTTCCCCCTTTCTAAGTTCTGTTTTGAGTTCCTTTTTCAGGTTTTTAACATTTTTTATCCTAGAGGTCCTTCACTAAAAACAAGGTTTTAAGTATATCTAACCAAGTCTATATCTATTTATCTATCTATCTAGATACACATAAAGAAAATAGATGATTTAGAATATTTGAATATATGGTTTAGGATATCTGAATAGATAGATAGATAGATAGATAATGTCTATATATATATGTAAAGAAAACAGATAATTTGGAAGATGGAAGATTTTTGCATTGGAGACATTAGAGTGAAAATGTAATTTTTTGCAGATAGTTTCTTTAATTTGAATTACCAAAATATAAAATGAGTGCAATGATAAAATTTTGAATTTATGTAAGAATAGATATTGGTATTAGTTAAGCAGAGTTTCGCTATAGACAGTAAATGCCTATGTATTTTAAAGTATTTATTGTGGTCTTACCCATGTGTAGGAACCTAAGATTGACCTGGAAATGTCTTAATTCTATCCAAATGATTGTGTCCTAAACTGAGTCTTCATGTTTCTAATCTTACTTAGATTTATCTAGGCAACGATAATAGAATTTGTAACATGGTAAAGGCTTGGGGTTTCATCCAATTTTATCACTAAAATTCTCATAATTTATTCCTTTCCTGAAATTAAATTTCTTTCAAGTTTTGTCTGAAACTCACCTCCAGTCGTCTTTGGATAGATTTGCAAAGATATTCATTTCTTCTTCTTGCATAAGTCGATATGCTGCGCTCACATGGTGATTTTCGAGGACAGAGCGATCATTGTACAAAATGGCAACATCTGACCTAAGAAGTTAAAACAAAATGGCCAGGAGAAGATTTCATTAGACTTCATAGTGCTTGATAAGAGATAAGTTTCAAGTCACTCCATCAATTAACACATAAAATTATGGAAGTAATTATGGTGCTTTTGTAGCTATGATATATTAAAATTTCATAGAGGCATTATATTTCTAGCAGCTGTAGGGTCACAGCAAAATTGCATAAAGTACAGAGATTTCTTATGTTCATCCTGCTTTCCCTTAATAAATGTCTCCACCAGAGTTTTTCCCTTGATAAAAATAATAAACCTACAAAATATATTATCATCACCCAAAGTCCATAGTTTAACTATGGCTCATTGTGGTGTCTTACATTCTTTGTGTTCAAAAATGTATAATAACATGTACCTAAAATTATAGTTTATACAGACTAATTTTACTGCCATAAAACCCTTCTTTGCATCTAGCTTACATTTTGCATGAGAATGTCCTTTTTCCTCTAGCACTATTTAGTGAAAAGATTGCTTTAGTTTCATTGTGTTGCCTTTAATTCTTTGTCAAAGATTGAAACTTCGGTAGATCCATTTCTGAATTCTTTACTTAATTGTATTTTCAGCAATACCACACTGCCTTGATTAATGCAGCCTTACAGTAAGTCTTGAGGGCAGGTGCTATCAATGTCTTAAAATAGTCATCCATTCATATAAGTTTGCAAATTGTAAGTAGATAGCAGAAATATGACACAAAAGAAAAATTAAATTAAAATCTGAAGTGATTTTGCAACCCTCGTTCTAAACACAACCTCACTCATACATATTTTTTCCTGCTAGATTTGTTCCCATGTGGAAAACTTCCTCACTTATTACTATTTAATGCTTTTTAGTGGGAAAATTCCTAATTATAACCTAGAACTTGCCATGCTATTGAAATGTAGGCAAGTTCAAAGTAAAAATATAACCATAATTGCCACTAAAAGTAAAAACAAAGCTGGATTGTATCTGAGATAAAGTGTTAATTTATTTCCATATAGTAGCCATTTTGCTATCTGTATTCTCTCACTGTCTTGTTAAATACCTTGTATAGTATCATAGTTTTTAAATATTTTTATTATCTTTAAGGGGTCATGAAGAAGAGTTGCCATTCACCAACCAATTTATGAATATAATGCATCTTGATCAGTGTCACCCTTTTGAAATTCTCAACCATCCCTCCCACCCCACCTCTTCCCTCACTTTTCTTAAGTTTAGGTTATATATTGAATTGTTTTTGCTATTTAATAAAGCAGTTTATAATACATCTTAATCTTTGTCATTACTTCAACATTTTCACTCCCCTTTAACATATTCTTTCCCTTATATTTCTCAATTCTGTGGTTTATACAATGAATCCCTTCCTCTCTCTTCCCTCTCCATTCTTTGTCTCTGTCATCTTGGCCAAGCCTTGCAAGTACCCATTTCCTGGGGTTTGACTTAGTCTTTTTAAAGAATGAGCTCTCCATAGAGTCTATTTCACTTCAGTTAATTCATTTGTCACCCCTTGCTTACCACCTAGTGTGTTTACTTGTAGATTTATAGGCACATTCTAGCTATTACAAATGAGGGAAACGATATAAGCTGTGTTTTCTCTGGGTATGGCTTACCATTCATTAGGAAATAGAAAGACTTGGAAAATAGTATATTAAGTGGAGCAAGGTTTTCTTTTTTTTTACTTGTAATTTTTAGTAGTACTGAGGTTTGAAGTCAATCTTAACCTTTTTTTTAAATTTTTTTGGGGGTCCAGTTGTGGGGCCTGAACTCTGGGCCTGGGCACTGTCCCTCAGCTCTTCAGCTCAAGGCTAGCGCTCTACCACTTGAGCCACAGCGCCACTTCTGGCTTTTTTCTTTTTGCTTATGTGGTGCTGAGGAATCGAACCCAAGGCCTCAAGCATGCAAGGCAAGCGCTTTACCACTAAGCCACCTTCCCAGACCTCAATCTTAACCTTATAAGGAGCTAGGATTACAGGTGTTAGCCACCAGTCTCCAGTTCACATTTGATCCTTACTTAAGAGATAATTAAATAAATGTTTCTTGAGTAAAATACCCTGTGCATTCCCCAAAGCTTGCTGAGATCATAGGAAAAATTGGGAATTTCCAATAAATTCATTTGTATCATATACTGAAATGTAACTATACCAGGTTTGTCATGTTTATTATTTGATTTGGCTTCAAATGTCACTATTTCTCCTTCTCAGAAACAAGTAATGATGTGATTCAATTTTAGCAAAATGCACATGATTTTGTCTCATAAACCCAACAAGAAGCTGAGAATACAGCATGATCTTAATGGTTGAGATGGTCTTTAACTGCTAAGAAAAGAAAAAGATTCCAAGCAATATCTAGTATCCATGGTAACATGCAGCTTGGCATTTTCTGTTCACAAGGAAGAAATTATTCCCATTTATTTACACTTCAAGGATTTCATGCATTTATAATGTTTTCATTGAAGCCAAATCTGCCATTTCCTTGTGTTCTACTTTTCATTCATCTTACATTATATGACAAATGAGTTATCATATTAGAAAAACGCACTATAGACAAGTAATAATGAAAAATATAAAGAGAAATAGAATTATTGATATTAGTGACATACAACTTTATTTTTCCCTTAACAAAATGTGAAAGCATGTGAGTTGAAAATCACATTATCTTGTTAGTTTTGCCATTAAAATATTTGTGTTCACATAATTTTCAAGCTCATATAGAATTAATGAATTAAATAACTGACCCTACTAGACAAAATATAAGAAAACAAGTGAAATATAAGATTCTCCTATTATTGTCCATTGTTTCTTAATATAAAATTAAAAACAATTTGTTTTTCCTTGTCTCATCTTTTCCCTCTTTCTCCTTCTGATGTACCTCTTCCATTCCTTGTCCATTCTCCTCCTTCTCCTGCTACCTCTTCCCTACAGCTCAGAGCATAATTAAAGTAGGACTATTTCTCCTGATCACTATTAGAAAAGGAGAATATTAGACTTCATGATATAACACAGCATTTATTAAAAAAATAGCCAGTCTACTATCTTCAGTTTTCTATAAAGTACAAGAATTTCTCATGGCTAATTCACTTGCTCCCTTCTCCAAATACCTTGAGCTATGGTCCTATATAGAGTCAACTCAGAAGTGATTCCTTTTTAATTAAATCTTCCTTATGATTCTGTGATGTAAAGCATTTTTGATAAACAAAAATGATATGCATAATCTTTTCCTTTGATGCTTAATAAAAACAAAGCAACTCTCAATACTCAGCAAATATGTACAGTTTCATTAAAAGCATTTCTGTTGTACAACTCAATTGCAAGACTTTCTCTTTTCTTTCATTCTATGCCACTCTGAATATTTGATTTCTTCCATAACAGGGTCTGACAGATAGGCTTCACTGATATTTATTGGATATTTGAATTTCAACTCTTTTTGCATTTCCACAGAAAGGGCAGGATGTGTAAACCAATTCCACTTTATGCTGTGAAGGATTGGACCCACCACGTGACTGTCTTTGACTATGGAGTAGAGCTATGTTAGTAACTAGACTGAGTGTCTTTCTTCTCCATGCCTCAATCCTGCACTGATGTCCCTTGATTTTTACTCTGTACACAGATCATTTACACTCTAAATGACTTTGTTGTTTTTTCTTTTTTATGGGATTTATACCAGATAATCTATAGCATAGATCTCAGTCATCTTAGCTTTAATCTCTAAAATACTTAATATTTTACTAAACTCTTTCTCTACTCCCCATATTAAAAACAATAATTCCTTGTATTTGGAAATTAGTTCTTAACATATTTGTATTGCACAAACTAAATGAATCAGTCCCCAGTGTTTCATGCCTGAAATAGTAGCTACCCAGAAGGCTAAGATCTGAAGATTGTAGTACAAGCCAACCCAGGATAGGAAAGTCTGTGAGACTCTTATCTCTAATTAACCACCAAATAGCTGGAAGTGTATTCAGGCTCTGGAGGCTCATGTCTGTATTCCTAAATACTCAGGAGGCTGAGATCGAAGACTGCAATTTAAACCAACCTAAGCAATAAGTCTGGGAGACTCTTGTCTTCAATTACCCACCAAACACAGTTGGAAGCAGAGCTGTAGCTCAAGTGACCAAGTGCTAGCATTGAGCACAAGAAGCTGAGGGACAGTGCCTAGGCCCAGAGTTTAAGCTCAAGGACCTACACCAAAAACAAACAAACAAACAACAACAACAAATAAAGAACTGAAAGTGGGTGGAAGGGAGGTGTGGCTCATGTAGTACTGTACCTCCTTGAATGACAAAGCTAACAGACAACAGACAAGCTTTGAGTTGAAGCTCCAGTACTGACACAAACAAAATAAAACAAATAAAAATTAAATTATCAGCTATGTTAACAAAAACTTGCACATGCATTTTTATAGTAGCTTTCTTCATAAGTGCCAGCATTTGTAAACAATCAAGATTTCTTTCACTAGGTGAATTGACAAACTTTGGCAGATCTATACCATGGAATATTACTCAGGAATAAAAAATAATGAGCTATCAAGCCATGAGAAAACATGGAGAAACCTTAAACAAATATTGCTAAATGAAAAAATTATTTTGAAAAGGTATATATTACAAAACTTCAACTACATGACATTTTGGAAAAGGTAAAACTGATGAGACATTAGAAAGGTCAGTGCTTGCCAGAAGTAATAGAAAAGACAGAACTGAATCCACAAACCACCAAGGGGTTTTTAGGGTAGTGTAGGATACTCAAATGGCAAATACATGACATTCCACATTTGTCAAAGTCCGTCAACCTATAAAGAAAGATTAAACACTAATCTTTGGACTGGTACACTAAGTATAGTATACATCTACTCTAGAGTTTTGACTCAAATAATTGCCATCATAACATCATAAAAGAATCTTATTTTCTAATTATTCTAAATGCACTACTTGATAAAGGCATGAGGATGAGATTTCTTTAATCCCTGGATTTTTTTTCTAGAAGTGCAGTTTTACTACTTGCAAAGATATAATGAAATAAACCTTAGACAATGTGTTGTAAGATTTATCTGAGTAGATTTCTGATTTGAGTGATACTTCACAGTGTAAGTTCTGGGTAGAGATTGTTTTATGTATTTCTATAACCAGAAAACATATACAAGTTCCTTGAAAAACAGACGTTGATTTCCATGGTTACAACTTAAGGAATCTTTTGAAAAATGCATTAACCCTCTCTTTTATTAGAATCTTAGTTAAAAACTTCTTGAAACAGACAGAAAAATAAATGTTCAATTTTAGCATATAAAGGTGAATACATTACTGAGTGTACCTTGTCTGGATATGAAAATTGTTGGTTGTTCCTGTATGCTCATAATCATGAATAGCAGCAGCAAAGACCATTGCTAAAATTTCCAGTTCAGTGAGCCAGTGCTAGGAGAATAAAGAAAAGAGTCCATCAGAATTATAAAGGAGAAATCATACTATCTTTTCATAAAAAATATTTTCAGGGCACTCAGCATGCAAAATAATATAAAATATCATAGTTATTTAAAATAAATTTTCTTCCTTCTTTGCTTCTATTAATCAAGTGTTGTAAAACTTTGTGAAGTCAACAATTGTTTCATAGTTTTCTCAATTCAATAATTTTCAATTCAAAATAAAACTGTCTTTGTTAATTTGAAAAAAGAAAACTTTCTTTTATTTATACAATTAACTCTGACTGGAGTTTTAATTCACAGCCGTACCAGTTTGAGTTCTTAGGAAATCACTCATAGATTAGTGATTTCCTTTAACATATAGCTTACCATTGTTAAAGTGAATTTTTAAACAATTATAGAAGAGCCTAACATGAAGAACATTTCCATCTTTAAGCTGAAAATATTTACTTTGTTCATGAGATAAGCTGAACTTTATTTTATATTTAAAGATTTTAAATTGAAAGATTTTAAAGATTTTATTTAAAATTTAAAGATTTTAGAATAGTTTCTGAGGATCTATCCAATTTTCTAATAATAGCTTATATATGACCATGCAGTTAAACTTCATAAAGAATTTCTTTCATTATGAAGATCCAGAACTATTCACTTTGTGTATATTGTTCTTTCATCAACCAAGTGGCTAAACAATTTTTTCCATTAATGTAGGGTTTTTATTTAGTAATAATTAAATCATTTTGAACTACTTACATTTCTTATAATATTTTTGTTGCACTGTTCAATATGGCAACCATATTGAAAATTTAAATTTAAAATAAATATAAGATATAGTATGTTTGAATCTAAAGTAATAGCCAAATCCACATGCTTGCTGATGTGGAAAATGGTTACCATATAGAACAGCACAGATATAAATAATTTCCTTGGTCACAGAAAGTTATTTTATGCAGTGTTACAAGTGAATGGAACTTATATTCAGAATGCAGGATCTAAAATGATATTGAGCTTTCTACTAATGGTATTCTTTTAATGGATTTGAAACAAAGAACCTTACAGAAAACAGCAGAAAAATATCATATATACTATTTGCATAGTTGGTAAAAAAAAAAAAAGCTAATAGGAGAAAGAGGCAATTTAAACACAGGTAGAAAAGCTGTTTGATAATAGTGGAATTTGGAAGATGGATAAAGATTGAAAGTTAAATGCAGAGTAAGGGGAAGAATAATTTTTAATACCAAGAAAAAGTTAGAATTACACGATAGTGGTATGTGTGGGAACAGAAAACGCCAATAGAATAATTGTGTTAGAGAGGCAATTTAAGTTGGACTGAAAAGGGATTGGGGAGTATAGGAAGAATTGATGGCCTATCTTGATTACAATTAATCAATTTATATAAAAGGCAGTAGGGTGTCAAGATGGAGGAAGTTACAACTGGATTTCAGAGTTTTCAAGGGCCTCAGCTTACTCATTCCTGCTTCGTTCACAGAACCTATTGTGGTGTTTGATATATATCAGGGGCTTGCTATTTATTGGATTGTATTTTACTAGTTTTGCCTAAGAAGAAGGTAATAGGGAGCAGTGGAAAGAAACCTTGGGATTAGAGGTTCCTGATTTTTAAATATCTGTTAATAGAAAAATCAACATGGAAATAGTGATTGTTCCTCTGTTCTTTTTATTAAATGTTAACAGTTAGCATAGGTGTTGTTCCCACCACAAGCCTTGTCATATAGTTACATAAATGACATTTAATTGAACTTACCATGTTATTTTGTTTAGGGCATTCAATCTGGAAAATACCAGCTAATATATCTTAACTGATTGTACAAATAGTTCCTATTTGGATGGCTAGAGCAGGAATGACTGTTTCAAACAAAAGGGACTAATAAAACTAGCTGTCCTGTGCATGGATATGCTTAATTGTGGCATTAAAAAAATAAAAAGAGAAAGTGATCCCATGAAAGCCCTGTGTTATGGTCTGAACTGAGATGGAGTCTGCAATGCTTCTGTTGAGACTGTGGAATTATACACCCATGAAATGAACAAAAATCAAATTAAACCAGTTTTAATAACCCACAAACCCAGTGTTTTATTAAACAATGTTCCTTGGGGGAAAATAACACCTATTTCCTTAAAGTATTTTTGCTGGTTATATTTATTTATGGATTTATAATTTTTATTAGTCTTAGCAGCAAGCATTAGCTACTATTATAAAAAACATCAAATATGAAGCTATCAGAGCAAAAGAAAATTAGAGATGGATTACAATTAGAGATTAGATTAGTATTTAAAATGATTAACTTTCTAGCTCTCAAAATTGATTATAAATATATTTCCTGTATTTTCTAATTAATCTCTCTTCCCCAATTAGAACATCCTCTATGAACTCCAGTTACTTAGTGCCACACCATGGCTTTGTGATTAAGTTCATATTACAGAATAGTTTGGGGAGGGAGAAACACTACTTTTTCACAATTGAAAAGGGTGGGTTTTTTGTTTTGTTTTGTTTTTGTAAAAGGTGAGTTGCTGACTGATGGTCAGCTTTTAGCTGCTGATTCACCTTATGCTAATGTCACATGAGACTTCTAACTCAGAAAAGTGGATGCTTAAATTTGTGAACTTTAAAATAAATCCTAAGTGGAGCTGTGTGGCTCAATTGGTAGCCTTGAGCACAAAGAGGCACAGGGATATCTCAAAAGCCCTGAGTTCAAGCCCCACAACTGAGAAAAAAAATACTAAGGACAAGCTAGAGAGTAGGAGAGTGAACTACATCATTCTTTCTGCCTAGAACAGCAAAGCATAAAAACTGAGGCTCAACTAACTCCCAGTGGACTGAAGGGTTAAAATAAGGAGTGGCAAGCAGAGGAAAAACATCCAGTTTCATCTAAAATGCTATCTGCATATTGCCTAGAGCAATGCCCAGGCAGATTTTTCTCTAAAATGTACAGTGCACAAAATGTATCAGGAGTAACAATTATTGTTGTTGTTTATAGAATGATGGCAAAGGAGAAGGACCTAACATGACCTAAACATTCTGTTTACCATTTAGGTAAGCATCATTATGTCAGATAACAAACTGATCCTAAAGGATTGAATTCACAGGCCGAAGGTCACAAAGCCAATTGGTGAATACAGAAATTCAAACACAATTGATTTGATTCCAAGATTTCTCTTCCTTCTATAGATGCAAGAGAAGCAATGTACTAAATATATTTTTCTAAGAATAGACCTGAATTTGGAAATTCAAACAGAATTTCTAACTAATTAGAAATTTAAAAATATAATTTTTAACTAATTAGAAATTCAAAAATAGAATTTCTATCGGATATACAAAGGGCTAAAGCTAACAGAGCTGTGATTTAAGATGTAATTTTTATATCTGAAATATTGTGTGTAATAAAGTATACGTTTAGTGTGTGATGAATTTTGAATAAAAATCATGTTGACATCCTAGTTCCTAGTCAACCTAAAAGAGCATAAATAATGACTTCTTTAATGCAAAATTATGAGATTAAACAATTTTTACTGCTTTCACTCTGAATAGGTCCAGGTGGTTTGTTATCACTTGCCAGAATAGAAAGTTTGAGCATTATAATAACTAATCACAGGTGTTAATAACTGAGTGTCTAGCCCTACCTTAGGTGCTTTTCAAATATGATTTAATGACTCCTCATTACATCCTGTAAGGTGGCCAGTACTATTAACCACACTTTACTCACAATGGGACCAAAGTAGAGAGCTTGTGAGTTGGGAAGTGGCAGAGCATGGTGTCAAATCTATGTCTGGTGCTCTCCCAAGCCCACACTTATTCTTCTAAACTGTTACATGAGAAGTCATTTATTTTATTTTATTTTTTGGGGGGGAAGGTCCTGTCGTGGGGCCTGAACTCTGGGCCTGGGCGCTGTCCCTCAGCTCTTCAGCTCAAGGGCCTCTTCCAACTTTTTTCTTTTTCTGCTTATGTGGTGCTGAGGAATCAAACCCAGGGCCTCATGCATGCAAGGCAAGTGCTCTACCACTGAGCCACCTTCCCAGCCCCGAGTCTGAGACTTTTAACTCTAGTTAACCAGCAAAAAACAGAAAGTGGCACCGTGGCTCAAGCAATACAGTGCCAGCCTTGTGTGCAGCCACATTCTGGGCTGGCTAAGGACGTGTCTTGGTGGCAGGAAGCTGGCCTAGCTCTGGCTTGACACCACTGACTAGAATTGGCTCCCCATTAGCCATGCTGTCAGGATAAGGATAATGGGGCTCCTGTGCCCATTTTGCAGGAGAGGAAACTGAGGTCAAGAAAAAGGAAGTCGATCATAGGGAGAATTCACCACAAATGAGTGGTAAAGATGGATGTTGGCCGATACCAATGCAGATGGCCCAGCTGGAGCATGGGGAAAGCAGGGACATCTTTTCCACACTCCAGATGTGCATGGCAGGCAGCTCCCTCCACCCCCAGAC